ACCCTTCTGGCCTGCAAACTTTCTGCTGAAAAGTCTATTGATAGTCTTATTGGTGTTCTCTTATAGATAACAAGTTTTTTTTCTCTCACTGCTTTTAAGATTCTCTATCTTTTTAACTTATGACATTTTAATTATAAGGTGTACTGATATGTGGATCTCACTGGGGTCATCTTATTTGTAACTCTCTTGGCTTCCTGGATCTGGATGTCTGTTTTCTTCCCTAGCTTAGGGAAGTTTTAAGCCACTATTTCTTCAAGTAACTTTTCTGCCCCTTTCTCTTCTTCTTCTGGGACCCCTATTCTGCAATTGTTATCCTGGTTGATGTTGTCCCATAAGCCTCTTGAGTTATCTTCACTTTTAAAAATTTTTCCTTTTTGCTGGTCTGTTTGGGTGAGTTCCACTGCCTTGTCTTCAAGATCGTTGATGCTTTCTTCTGCTTCACTTATCTGCTTTGAACTGCTCTAGTGTGTTTTTTAGTTATTGTATTTTTCAGTTATTGTATATTGCGACTTCTGTTTTGTACTTTCTTATATTTTTCTGTCTCTGTTCTCACTATGTTCATTCATTCATTCTCCCAAGTTCATTGAGCATCTTTATGACCAGTACTTTGAACTCTTTATCAGGTAAATTACTTACCTTTATTTCATTAAGTTTTGTTTCTGAGGTTTTTTCTTTGTTCTTTCATTTGGAACACATTCCTTTGTTTTCTCACTTTGTGTGACTCTCTGTTTCTATGTATTAGGCAAAACAGCTACCTCTTCTAGTCTTGAAGGAGTGGCTTTGTATAGAAGATGAACCTTATTGTCAAGCCTTACCTTAGTTCTCAGTTGTCTCTTGAACCTTTGTGATCATCTAAGCATCCTGATTTCTTTTTAATAGCTCCATTTGTTGAGGGTGTGCCAAGACCTGTCAGTGTTCCAGAGTGAGGGATATTAGTCAGCACCTAGTTTCAGGCAGGTTGGAAGCCAGATCCTCAGGCAGCAGCTTTTAAGTTATACAAATATATACAGTCCTTCAGGACCACAATTGTAAACCCTGCTGGCCTCCAGATCAGGCGATATGGGAGTGTCTCCTTTGGAACATTTTCAAAAATCAGACCTCCAGAGGAGTGCGTGAGCTCCTTACTGGGAGGTACTAGTGAGCTGTAGCAAGGCAGAGGAGGGAGAGTGCAAAGATGGCATCACCTGGCCTATGTTCCCTGAGAGCACTTCGTGGCCTCTAGACGTGTGGCATTCTTGAAAGCTATCCTTCAGGCTGAAGCTTTGAGACAAGTAAATAGGGATCTGTCACAGAAAGACTGGGATTGTGTTTCAATTTCCTGTCTGAAGTGCCTTGGGGGTGGTAGCCTGCCAAGAATTCTCTGATTATTACAGTCCTGTGGGACCCAAGAATACAATTCCATGGCTTCCAGATCCAGGTACTCAAGGGGTATCCCCTGGGTTGCCATTATAAAAACTGGGGCACCAGATATAAAAGAACCAGGGTACCAGATGTGTGCAAAAGCTCCCTTCCAGGAGATAATGGCACTGTGAAGCATGGCATAAGGAGAATGCAAAAATGTCCACCAGTGCCTCTGTCTCCAAAGAGAATTCCTACAGTCCCCTGACCCTTCAGCAGATGCTTTAAGATTAGCAGATGAATCTCCTTCACATACAGTCTGGGTGCTTCCAAACTGCTCCCTCTGCCCTGGGCTTTGGGGAGAGTAAGTTTGCACATGAGCTTTTCGAGAGCTGTCTTTCAGTGTGCTACAGCCCCCTGGGCCTTGTGGTTTTCAAAGCCAAGTGTTTTTAGGACTGATCTTAAGATTTAGGGTGCCTGATATGGGGTACAAACTCTTTGCTCCTCAAGGAGAGGCTCCAGATTTGTGAGATCCCTCCCAATTATGGGTCACCATGCCAGGGGTGGGGTTTTTGGCAAGACCACATCTCAGCCTCTCCTACCCACCTCAGTGTGGCCCTTTTCTTTTTTGATGTAAAGCAGCTGTTTAGCTAGTTTCAGGTCTTTTTCAGAAGGAATTATTGCATATATAGCTGTAGATTTGGTGTCTTTGTGGGTGGAGGTGAGTTCAGGATCTTCCAACATCACCACCATCATGGACTGCCTTAATGGGAGTATTTCAAACTAAGTCCAGTGTCCTTTTGAGATGTCCCCATTAGTCTTTGAGAATTCCCTTGCTTTCTGGCCTACCTTAGGCCTACCTTAGACCTGGAAGTTCTCTAAGTTCTGAACCATGGTTCATTTTAATGAGAAATCGTATTTAGAAACTAGGATCTGGGCAGTAAGTGTGCTCACTACAATGGATACCATTGCCTCTAGACCTATTCAGTGGATAGAGCTGGGAAATATGTATGTATATGTATATATAGTTTTGGGGGGTTTTTTACTCATAAGTTTTCACTGATAACTCTTAATTTCACTTCATATCTTCCTATATTCCATTTTGTATTTCCTTTCCCATACAATGAGTAACCTGGTTCCCAAAAACATCAGTAAGTATATTTACCCATTTGTTGTATAATATAATACACACAAAGATGTTTTCAGAATTATATTAATATCAGTACCAATAATAAACTCTGTAAGTTCAGTTTCTTCACAGACCCTTTTTGTCCTTAGAATGTATTTCATTAAGGGTATACAGAATACTGGGTTCAAAAGTTACTTGAATTCTTCCTTCTGGGTATCTGAACATATACCATTTTTTCGATTCTATTTGTGTCAGTTTTAGTGTTTTTTTTGGATTTTGATTCTTTAATTTTTACATTTTTGAATATATAAAAACACTAACGTGGTTCAGAAATGAAAGCTATGTAGAAAGGTGTACATCTTCATCTATTCTATTCCCATTTAACTACTCCCTATAGTTAACCATATTCATTTGTCTTTGGTTTATCCTTCCTGTGATTCTCTTTGCTGAAATAAGTCATAAATAGTCTTCGATTTCCTTTTGTATACAAAAGATGTATGCCATACTCTTTTGTATTTTGCTTTCCTGTCCTTTTTTAAATTAAAGCACTGACTTTTAGTGTGTCTACCAATATTGATGGCTAGAATTCATCATTAACAATACATTAAACAATAATGGCAGAATATATATGCTACCTTAGACCAAATTGCTTCACTTTTTTAAAGTTTATCTGATTTAAATTTTAGCCTTTTTTTAACTTCATCTGGCCATTAGGTATTATAAACATCACACTACTTGAAAAGCTAATTCTTCTCATAATTTATGGCTCTATTTGCCTTGATTGGCAAACATGACGCAAAATGTACCTATAGCACATTCGAAACAATGAGAAAACATACATGGCACAATGAGAAAACATACATGGCATAAGCCTGGACTAGAGTCAGAATAGTCTTCTGAGAGGTATTGCCAGTCTGGAAACACTTTAAGTTGACTTCTCAGCATGAGCCTTTTATTCAGGTAGTATAAATTAGGGTTGTAAATCCACAAGAGGGAGCATTTTATGGTTATGTATTCTGAAGGTAGATTTTTCTCCTACCAAAGAACACCAAGACTGAAAAAGGCAAATTCTTTCTTCCTTCTGTTGAGGTGAGGTTTTTTTTGGTTTTATTTGTTTTTCTAGCCTGTCCTTACACAGAGTGTGCAGACTCCTATCAGCCTTCTCTCCTTGGTTGGGCTCCAGGCTTTGTCTTCCGGCCCCTGAGCCCCTGTAACCCTCAAAGTGGAAGCTTAAAGTCCTCAATAGGACTGAGGAGTTATCACAGGCAACCAACTTTAACTTTTGCTGATATCCTGTCTTCTTGTTTTTACTTGATTTTTGGCCTCTGAGGATTTTACTTTCTTACCAGCTCTGTGATGTATAATAAGTTGAACCCTTGGTTAGGATATCTAATCGGTCATATTTCAGGAAACTGATAATTCACAGATAAAGTAGTGTTGGTCTTCAATGGCCATTCCTGTCTCAGAACTTTTATAGTTCTTTATATAGGACCTAGCCATTCCTTCAGGTTCAACTCACATTATACCTCCCTCTACCCGTCAAAGCTTTCCTCAGTTACCTGAGTCAACACCGATCTCTCTTATTAGAACTATTATACCATTGTTTAGCCCTATTGACCAAAAGATACTGCTTCTAACCAATCCTTTCTGGTTAGTTATATACACATATTTAAGCCCTGCTTAATCTCAATTTATGAATTCTCAATTAACTGATTGATTTAAGAATGTATGCTTTATAATAGCAATTTCTTCATGGCCATCATTGATATTTGCTACTATAAGCTTAATTATAACCTTTAGTACTTCCTTTTCAGGTACATGGAACAGTCTCTCCTAGACTGATTCTGATTACACAGAAGTTAAATTCAGCTTCTGGTACTATTCATCATTTGTGTATCTGTGTACATGTGTACATGCATATACACGCACACACATCTACCTACACAGTCCATTAACATTCTCATTTTTTAGGGGGGTAGTAACAAATCTGATTTGAGAAAGTTGTTTTTCATTTTTTTCTTCTGTAAAAGTAATGTAACTACATTTCTGTATTAAACAGCAGTAAAAGTTACATAGCCAATTTATTGAATATTATAAAATATTTTTTAAAACCTATAATCTCATTGTTAGCATTCTGTAATATTTGTCTAGTTCTAGTGAGTTTTCATGCTAGTTATGATACTGCTTTTTTCATTTAACCTTACTCCCAAGCATTTTCTAGTGTCAACTCTGATTTTTGTTCTTTTAATTTCACACAATTTTATTCAGTTTTCACTTCTCTTAGCTCTGTCACCTGACCTAACCTAGTTTATTTACTCTGTGCCGTGTTGAACAATGAGGAGCCTCTTCTTTCCCATTTAGTCTTGTTTTTCTGCCCTTTTATTCTCCTTTCCCAAGCTTTAAGGACCATGTTATGAGGTTGTCAGTGCCATAATCTTTTTAAGTATTTTTTTCATGTTCATTATTTTCTTTCTGTTTTGGCAGTTTTCTTTCTCCAAATAGAAGAAAACTTTTTATATCCTTTTTATTTCAGAATGGGAAACAAAAGCCCAAGATAGTAATCCAGTTAAAAATGTTTCCAAACTCACAACGGATGGAACCCAGACTGTCAAATTGGAAGAACCATATGACTATGAAGATAAATTAGAGAGGCAGGCAACAGATACCTTCAGGAAAATTCCCACTGATGAAAGCGATTTCAGTTTGAAGACAGTTTTTTCACAAGAAGATGATTGTACAGAAGATTATCTTCGTAAATATGATATATATGGAAATAATTTTGGAAAGCATTCAAACCTAATTAAACAGTTTGATACCCAATTAGATAATAAAGCTTCGATATATAATGAAGGTAGGGCAGCCTTCAGTCATGTCTCATATGGTATTGTACATAGGAAAATTCATCCTGGAGAGAAGCCTTATAAATGTAATGTGTGTGGGAAAAAGTTTAGGAAAAACCCATCCCTCATGAAACACCAAAGTACCCATACCAAAGAGAAATCTTATGAATGTGAAGAATATATTGCACACCAGAGAATGCATACTGGAGAAAAACCATATGAATGCCACCAGTGTGGTAAAGCCTTCAGCCAGCGAGCACACCTTACTATACATCAGAGGATTCATACAGGAGAGAAACCTTATAAGTGTGATGACTGTGGAAAAGACTTTAGTCAGCGTGCACACCTTACTATACATCAAAGGACACATACTGGAGAGAAACCATACAAATGCTTGGAATGTGGTAAAACCTTCAGCCACAGTTCATCACTGATAAATCATCAGAGAGTTCATACTGGAGAAAAACCTTATATATGCAACGAGTGTGGGAAAACTTTCAGTCAGAGTACACACCTTCTTCAACATCAAAAAATACATACTGGAAAGAAACCATATAAATGCAATGAGTGTTGGAAAGTATTTAGTCAGAGTACTTACCTTATTCGACATCAGAGAATTCATTCTGGAGAGAAGTGTTATAAATGTAATGAATGTGGAAAAGCCTTTGCTCATTCCTCAACTCTTATTCAACATCAAACTACTCACACTGGAGAGAAATCCTATATATGTAATATATGTGGGAAAGCCTTCAGCCAGAGTGCAAACCTTACTCAACATCACAGAACACATACTGGAGAGAAACCATATAAATGCAGCGTGTGTGGGAAAGCATTCAGCCAGAGTGTACACCTTACTCAACATCAGAGGATTCATAATGGAGAAAAACCCTTTAAATGCACCATATGTGGGAAAGCATATAGACAGGGTGCAAATCTTACTCAGCATCAAAGGATTCATACTGGAGAGAAACCCTATAAATGTAATGAATGTGGGAAAGCTTTTATTTATTCCTCATCACTTAATCAACATCAGAGAACGCATACTGGAGAAAGACCCTATAAATGCAATGAATGTGATAAAGATTTTAGCCAGAGAACATGCCTTATACAACACCAGAGAATTCATACAGGAGAGAAGCCCTATGCATGCCGTATATGTGGTAAAACCTTCACCCAGAGTACAAACCTTATTCAGCATCAGCGTGTTCATACAGGTGCCAAACATCGTAATTAATGAATGTGGGAGACTTCATTTAGGTATTACGACTTAATCATTTAAGTTTTATCTTGTACTCTGTGTTAAAACATTATTCAAAAGAAGTGCAATATATGTTTGATATCACTGAACAGAAGTATCAAAATTAGTAATGTGGATATAACCTATTTAAATTTAATATGAAATTTAAGAAAGAAACTTCATTATTAATTCACAACAGTTTAATTCATTCCAGAAAGATTCCTGTGAAAGTAAAAGTACTCAGAAACCTGTAACTCAACAACTCTTAAGTCTATTTCAAGTACTTCTCAATGAGGCCTTATGAATGTAACTTGGGAAAGCTTCCATCAAGTAAGAGATTTCACACTAGAGAATAATAGAAAAGCTGCTTTCAGGCCTTTAGTTCTTCCTAACTTTGAAGCCTTAAATAAGTAAAGGGTTCCTTCCCCTTTTTTACTTCCCTTTTCCTGTTATGCCATAACTGCCATGTGGAGCCAGTAGGTTTGAAAAAAATTATAAGTATCTTAAAGATTTGTGTGGCCACTATTTAATTATATTTTCCTTTAAATACTGAAATTTTAAAAGAAGAGAACTTGAATGAAAGATGATCTATTAGGATAGAAAAACTAATGTTCTGTATTAACTCTTAGACATGTGTACAAATTGAGTTAAACAGGCCAAAATTAAACACCCAAGCTTAAATTAATCTTTAAGACTGCCTTAGTTTCACTAGGTTTTGACATTGGTCATCCTGATGGAAGAAATCAGAATACGGTTCCCAGTTTTTTCACCTGACTCCTAACTTGTGGTTCATAACTTGTGATTCTCCTGTAGCTTTTACTTTAGGAAGTCCATTTCTTCCATTGAAACACATGTTTCTTGAGTGCCTAATGTGCTGAGGGCCCAAACTTACTAATTGGATCCTTTCAGGGCTTCCTATAGTGCTGCAAATTGCAGCTGAATTAAGCAACAGAACATTTTCTAAAGCAATGAAAGATGAAGTAAGGACATGAGCTCAACTAGTATGTCATGGAATGAGCATAAGAGACCTAAAATGGATTGCCAAATGTGACCCTGTATCCTAAGACGAGTAACAAAAAGCAGCTATTTAAATAGTGTGAGAAAAATGAAAATAGAGTCCAGTGCAGAAAGTGGGTTAGGGGGGAAAAAATGAAGACATAACTATAGTAAGGAAAGAATATGTAGGTAACTTATAACGTGAAATGTTACTGGACTTGGTTTACCTAATAGGAGTGACTAATTGAATAAGATGTAATTCAGCCTGTTTCTAAGAAACGAAAAATGAAATGACTGATTTTAAAGGAATAATTGGAATTGTTACTCTTTCATAGATATAAGTAAAATGGAGTTTATTTTTAAAATATTCAAAAAAAGTTTCATTGGAAAAAGCATTGATGCAATAATTGTTAAACGGTAGTAACTGTTGTCCTAAACAACATAAAAGGAAAACTGGTAGAAATGCAAATAGAAATAGGTTAAAAAAATATTTTGCATTTAATATCCACAGCATTCCACTATCAGAATATAAGACCATATTCTGAGAGCTGAGATTTCACCTTGCTCTTATTTCTTCAGTGCCTTGCATATAGTAGGTGGTTAATATATGTTTGTTGCATTAATGGATAGATAAGTTGGGTAATAAGGTAGAATTAAATGATATGGAGTGAAATTGGTAAGAGTTTTTTGTGTATATGGGCAAAGAAATATTTAACAAATACTGGTCATTTGGTAAAAACAACTACTTAAAAATGAAGAATCAGAATCCCCAAAACTTAACAATGGGGATATTCCTAAGAAATCGTGGGACATCTTTGCACAAGAAGTTTTCCTGAGCTAGATGAGGAAAAACATAAATTCTGGCGCCATAAATAGAAATTTAAGCATGTAATGACTACGTGGCTTCATTTGGACCTGACTGTTTATACAAACATCCTACAAACAGGTTCCAAAGGAAAGACATCTTCAAGGCTTTCTTATTGAGTGTTTTCTTCAAGAAGCTGTTTTCCCTTGTCCTCACATTCATTAACCTTGATGTCATAGAATTACCCTTCACAAAGTGCAGATTGTCTCCAGGTTGCATAATACTCAAATTATGCTTATGCCATAGTTATCAGGTTAAAAAATAACCACTGTACTTACGATGCAATTTTTATAATGCCACTTCATACCTTACACAACACTTTTCTCCTGGAATGAGTGTGTGGAGTATTATAGTCTATAGCGCCTTTCTTTACATTAATTTGTATTTCCTGCCTTTATGTGTTTTATGTAAATAATGCATTTATAAGGTCTTCCACTGATACACTGAAGTTATTGATACTCTTATAAAATGACAGAATTATAATGGAAAATCCTAGATCTTTGTGTATTTTTCCCACTTTTACAGTTGTCTGGCCTACATGAAATTTATTTTTTAGCAGACAGTCTTATTCTCCACAACTTTTTATTATGTAGATGTTCAGATATACAGAGAAGTTAAATAAAACAAACGATATCTAACAATTCTAACAAACCAGATTTAAAAATTAACATTTTGCCATATTTTTCTGAACTATTGGAAAGTAATTTGCAGACATGACATTTCACCCCTACTTAAGCATGCTGCATCTCATAAAAAAATCTTTTACATAACTACAATACCATTACATACCTCAAAAAATGAACAGTAATTTCCCAATATCTAATGCTTAGCCCATGTTTAAATTTTCCCTGTTAATCCATTCAAGTTTCACACATTACATTTGATTACGTCTGCTTCATCTAGAACAGTCTTGCAACTTTGATTTTTTTTCCAGGACCTTTTTTTTTAAATGGAGTAGGTCATTTGTATATCTCACATTCTGGATTTAACTGTTTACAATCAGTTTTTTTTTTTTTTTTTTATCAAATCAGTTAACAAATCAGTGGTTTGTTTATCTTGTTCCTATAGTTTCTGTAAATTAGCAATTAGAGCCATAGCCTTGATGTGTTCAGGTTAAACATTGTTAACATTAACACATCACTGATGTGTGTCATGTTGCATCACATCAAAAGTCTTATTATCTGGTTGACTTACTATCAGTGATGCAAAATTAAAGTGGTAACCACATATTTTCCCAGTGTAAAGGTATGTTTTTCTTGTTGCAGTTCAATATGTGGACTGAGACCTTGGCAGCACATGGATAGCCTAGTTACCAACAAACTTCCATCTGGTTTTGGTATCCATGGGTGATGATCTTTGCCTGAATCAATTATTTCTTCAAAATTTGCAAAATGGCAATTTTTGTATTCTGTCACCTTTCTACATTTATTGACTCTGGGCAATAAGAGCTTTCCTTCAAATGGAATGCACTTGAGGCAGAGTCATGCTCAAATCTTTTCCTTTACCAATTCTCAAAGGAGAATTGGTAAAAAAAAAAAAAATCAGTGTTATGGTAAATTATAATCATTGTTTCTGTAGCTCAAATTACCCCAAATTTGGCCAGTTGTAACCCTCCAGGTAACTCTTATATCCTTCAACATTCCCTCTCCAGTCTTTGAGCACTTGACTGCCTTCTGACACAAGATATCTCAGGTTCACCTTGCACTTTCAGTGACCCAGATCTAAGACATTTCTCTAGGAACACCTGACTCTCTAATAGCTATTTAGAAACCAAGATCTGGGCATTAGGCATGCTCATTGTTACTGGTGTGTGATTAGCAAGTAGCCTTTGAGCCTTTCCAACCATTCAACTTAGTTTTCATAAAGACAACTCTTGTCTAATATCTAATTATGTGATGAGAGAGAATTACATATCAGGACAAACTTTTGGGAGCAAACAACTAAGTCTTGTTAAGCATACAACTAAATTGGAGAGAACAGAAGTGTTAATATATACCACAAAGCAAACTTATTTATAGGAGGTCTTGTGCCAGGCCCATTAGAAAATTTTAGAGGAAGGGAGATTGTCAGTTAATCTGGCAAGCAGGTTAAGCAGAGAGCAGTTAAGAGCAACTAAATGTATGACACATGGTATGCTGTGTTTTAACTATTACATGATTACTGTATACACTAATTACACGCCTTTCCCATCACATTGCTTAAGGCAGTTTTCTAATCTAAATTCGAATTCTGAGGATCTGTTTATGCAAATCTAAAAATTTCTTGCTAAAATTTTATTTGGTCTTTAAAACTTCAAGGCTCTTAGATTTTATTCTTTGACTATATCTTCTGGTACCAATTCACTTGCATATGTGCCTGTAAATGTACTCTTAGTCCTCTATTTCTGTTATTCTCCTCATGGCTCTATATTTCACTATAATTAGCCCCTTAGAACACTATAGCCACTAAAAATGGTAAGCATGTGCACTGTAGTATGTATAAATATGTAAGCTTATAAGCAAGGAGTTCTCTGTATGGGTGGGGAAATTGGTCTCCATGATGCTGAAGTGTCTTGTCCGAGGTCATATACATATGCAATACAGTGACAGAATAAGGGTTGGAACCCATAGTTTCAGCACTTAGTTGAGTTCTTCCTGTAAACTGTTAAATGAAAATTCAGAGCACAAAGGGTATGTACCTAAAATTTTATAAAATTATGTATTTTGATGAGATTAGAGCACTGAAAATTTGTTTCCCGTAGTTTCTTAAATTCAAATCTTTAAATGAAAATAGCCCTACAAAGGATAGACTCCCCCTCCAATTTTGGTCTTCCACCTAGATCTTTCTCAGGTTTCAGGACCACATGGTCATTGATCACCTGGAACTATTTCACAGTACCTTAAGTAGTTTAAAACTGAATTGTTTTCACCACAAAACCTCCTCTTTGAATTCACCATAACTTAGGGAGGCAAGAAGCCACTCTCTTCTTCACCAAGTTATTTTAGTTCTATCGGTTTTACCTCCCATTTATTCCAGTTCATTTTTCACTATCCCCACTGCCACTTCATCATTTCAGGCTTTTAATCAGCTCTTGTTAAGATTATTTTGTAACCAGGTAAGTGTTCACCCTGACCCTGGTCTTTACCCTTTAAATACATCCTCCAAATTTTTGCCAAAGTCATTTTAAAACATCTAACTAGAACCACCACATACAGCTGTGCAAATTAAATAGTGCATTTGACCATGTCGTGGTTTGCTGAAAACCATATCTTCTCTTTCTCAACAGGAGTGGATCTCACTCTCAGCTACACATTAGAATGACCTGGGGAGCTTTTAAAATTACCAGCGCCAGGGCACTGCCTCCAGGAATACTGATTTACTTGGGATGGGGCCTGGATATCAGTATTTTTTCAACTCCCCAGGTGATTCTAATGTTCTAAAGTGGAGCAAGGGCAGAAGCAGGGAAACGAAGCAATTACAATGATTTAGAGGAGAAAAACGGTGGTCAAAGTAGAGGTGGTGAGAAGTGCCCCGACACTGGATATTTTTTGAAGATAGTCTATAGAACTTACTAAAGATTGGATTGAGATGTGAGACAGGAATTAAGGATGACTTTCCTACTGGAGAATGTACAGGGAAAGACTTGTCATATTTGTTTTCGTATCCAAACCAAGCATAGCGCCTGGCACATAGTAGATCCTCAATACATGTTTGATTAATGCATCTCTGCAGAAACTTTTGCACAATAATCAAGATTATACTCTCAGAAAACAAGTTCTGCATGTCCAGAATTGTGAAGGGTCTGGGATTTTACCCGACTTACAAGATGATAAACTAACCTGTTATTTCATGGATGCTGACAGAAGCCATGAGGCTCCTGGGTCAGAGACAAAACTTTATTACTCATGGCAAAAGCAGTAGCCAGACTTCACATTTAAACTGGTTATCCTTCCCCCTCCTCCAGCAGAGGGCTGCATTACAGGAAGGCAACACAGCATGGGGGGATCACCACTTTTACAGTGGTAAGCAAGCATGCTCTTTTCCAGGGGAGACACTGCTTTTTATATTTCCTTGCTGTGAACACAATCATGAGAAGTGGCCCAGGGAAAGAACAATTAAGACCTTGCTTGCATTCTTGGAATACCCAGCAAGAACATATGTATGCTCAGGGCCCATGATATCTTGCCTCTCCCCAAGTGCCCTTTCTACTGTAGGTTTTTCCCTCTGAGAATTCAGGGGTCTTCTGGCTTATGGATGGAGAAGACAGGAAGCAAAATGAAGTTGCCTGTGTCAAGCATACAGAGTAGGTCTCTTCCAACTCCCAATTAAGGGAAGGATGGTGGCGTTTGTTCCAGAAGCAAGCGATCTGCAGCAGAGAGAACTCTGTACGAGCAATGACGCCCTCTGCCGACCACCCCATGTTTGTGCGCCTATAACCCTCCGCCTTGTATCAAAGTGAAGGCACGCCATAAGTAGGAGTTGGGAGTTATTTGAAAGGGTTCAAGAGGAGAGGTTTTCCTTTTCTGGAGTCGCTAGTGTTCACGTACTCATTTTCCAGTCTTGAGAAAGAAAATGGGTTCAAGTTAGCGCTTTGTTTCTAACACGCAGTGTAAATCGGACATCCCTTTTCGCTCTCTAACTTCAGTCACTCACTCAAACAAGACCTCAGGGAGGGTAGCTTTTCAGAAATAAGCCTTTTCACTCTTTAACTGTGAAACTCTGTAACACCCACTCCTCGTCGATGCTCAACTTCCTCCCGCCTCCCAAGGGCTCAAGTCCACCCTCCCACCTTGCTTGCCCCGGGGGACGGCCCACAGTTTGGATAAGTAGGAAGTGGTGGCCAAGGGACCAAGCTCACCTCCTGCAGGGAGGGATTCGGATTTAAAGCTCATTCAAAAAGGCCTTCGGTGCAAGAGCAGCCCCTCCCTGAACTGACTCCTGGAGTCTTCAGAACGGACAGCTCTGCAGCCCAGAAAAACCCAGTCAACAACCCAGCTTCCGGCTTGAGAGGGATTCTGGGACTCTGGGCGGAGCCTGGATACGACAGCGTTTCTAGGAAATGTGGTCTGCAGCCCCTGCGGTTCAGGCGCACCTCCCGCACGTCTTTGTGGCTCCGCTCTGCACGTCCCCAACTCCTGAAGGCGCCCTCTGGTGGCGGGGAGGAGAAGCGAGGGTTGGGAGCTGGAGGGAAGGCAGGTTTCCACACGTGCACCGCGCCCTACGTGCGCACCGGAACGCCACCCAGTTGTGCTTCTTGAGGGATCTCAGCTTTCAGGGCTGGAGGGAATTGTAACCGCGTTGACGCCCGTTATAGGACCTACTATCATCTCCCTCCAAGAAGATTGCAGCAGCATTCTCATTAGTCTCCAGATGAATCCTCGAGGACCTGTCGACCTGCTTCAACAGTCATACCGTGTCGTTTCCAATGTATATAGCACGCCACACTTCCACTACAAGCACTCCCTTTATTCTGAAACAGATCTCAGCATCATATTATTTTACCTGTAAACA